AAAAAAAAAAAAAAAAAAAAAAAAAAAAAAAAAAAAAAAAAAAAAAAAAAAAAAAAAAAAAAAAAAAACAAAATAAATAAAATATTTGATAATAATAATAAAAAATAATGGTTTTTATATCAATGTCCTTTCTTTTTTTTTTTACTAGACAAAATTTTCCTTCAAAGAAATAATAATAATAATATACTTTTGGGAATGCACTAATTGAAAGTACACAGAGAAAAATAAAAATCTTGCTGAAAGATTGGTAATTTATGGATTGGTGAAGAACGGATGATTTAACGCATCGTCCATTGAAATTCGCTTCAATGGATCAACATGCATAAGTTTTTGAATAAGATCGATGGCATCTGCTGAATAATGTTTAAACCGTTTTTCGGGGAATTGGATTCCGGTTGTAGCTTGTTCACTTATCGGCCTTTGATCACAGAATGGATATCGTCCAGCAAGGCTACAATCAAAACGGGTGAACGAGTTTAATCAAGATAAGTAAATAATTAAACACGACAAAGCTCGATAAATCAAATAATTACCAGACGTATAATGTTGCGCCTAATGACCATAAATCAGCACGTTTGTAATTGAGCCATGCTAATTTATCGGTACGATGGAATTGACCGAGAACTTCGGGAGCGGCAAAAGCTGGGGTACCTACAACTTGTAATCCGGAATGATAACCGAATTCGGTTGAAAGGCCAAAGTCACCAAGCTTCGCAAATCCACCTTGGTACAACATGATGTTCTCAGGTTTGATATCTCGATGAACAAAACCCGAATCGTGCAAAGACTTGACTGCCTCAAATATAGGTTTCATCAATTCACGGGCACAGTGTTCGGTCATACGGCGTCGATAGATGACATCACTCAAGTCTTTGTTCGCTAAAGGCATAATGTAATAAACCTTCTTCGTTGTCTCCACAAGGTCCAAAAGCGGAACCAGATTTGACTGCGTAAATCACACGATTTTAGTCGCATAAAGGAAAGGAGATGATAAAACGAGAAATTATCGCTAGATTTTGTTACTTACCAATTTGTCCATACGAACCATCATTCTCCCTTCATGCATTATCTCTTGGTTTTTCTTTTTCTGTTTCCTGTCAGCAAATTGTATTCTGCCTAACGAACACGTGAATTGTTTTTTCAAACATTTAACGGCAACACGCATTTTGGTTTGAACATCAACGCCTGCAAAAAGAAATGAATGTCACTCAGTAAATCATATGAATAAACGCAAAATCTTCAATCGTCGACGCATACCTCTTACTACTTTTCCGTGATGACCTTCCCCGATGGTATCTTTTTTGTCGATAAGGTAACGGCCATTAAGTAATCGCTCATGTTTGGATTTTTTTTCAACCGTACCAACATTCGACGAGCATGTCCCCGCTTTTTGGAAACGTTTCTTGGCTTGATCGTCACATTTTTGCGTTTTGTCTGCTTTATGCGTCAATTTGATACCTCTATCGGCATGTTTCTTTGCCGATGTTGCCACCTTGTTTAAAAAATTGCCAGCACGTGCGATCGGATTCTTTTTCACGGTTTTTGTATCGCACTATTATAAAAAAAGGTGTCAATAGAACTTTTTCGTATAAAACCTACGATAACAAAAAGATAATTAAACTCTCAATACGTACGTTCTTTAATTTTTTGACCCGATCAACAGAAGCCGTGCTTTCATCCTCGATATCTTCTGATGATACTTCAAGGGTCGAATCATCATCGCGTTGAGATTCCTGTTATATCACATGACGACATTAGTAAACATATCATTACAAACACGAACCTGCACAAATGTACTTACGCTTTTGAGTAATAATTCGCAATCGACTTTCTTTTCTTGAACAAACTAAAAAAAGGTAATCACGTCATTTAAGTTAGCACGAGGAGATCATGATGATGGGAATTTTCATTATATACGAAGCCGAACGAACCTCTCGAATGCCATCAATGTCGTTAAAATTATTATTTAGACGTTCATCTATTTGTTTGATCAACTAATTAATAACAAGCAAGGTGTAAGTCACATGATTAGCATAGCGTAAGATTGTTTAACAAAAAAAAAAAAAAAAAACTTTACCTCTTTAACTCTCTGGCTATTATTTTGATTGGGATCGATGTTCAAATTTATCGTCATGATATTGTCTAATTCTTTTAGCAAGTCATCTACCCAACGTTCCATACTCTCATTCTTCATTACCTTTGAAGAATATACGGTAGTCGACTTTTTAGTCGAAGGCATACAAATAGCCGAGTCCAGGCGAGGATTATTCCTTTTGGCATTTATTAGATGAGCCATGTTTTGTTGAAAGGTTAGTTCAGAAGGATTTGGGTAGGATACGAAAACCGTTGAATCGTTCACGGTATGCTGTTGAACCAGGGCCATGTTGAGAAAACAACTCTTTTTATGTTAAAAATTTTTTGTTTGTCGTTGTACTTTTGTATTATTGTATGGTTATGTCGAATGTATAAAAGAGGGCATGTGCAGCTGCAGAAAATAAGAAACGAATTTTTTTTTTTTTTTGTATAAAGTTAATAAATTAAATTACTGCAAGACGAAACAAGGTCAGGAAATCTATCGAATGGAAGAAAGATTAAGGAGACGAATAGTTTTTGATTTTTTTTTTTTGTCCAATAATAAAATAAATTAAGACTGATTAAATAAGAATTGAACCAAAAAAGATTTATTATATAATAGAATTGATATAGATTTTTTTTTTTTTTTTTATAATAAATATATGTAATAAGTAACTCTAAAATTCTTTTTTCTTTGCTTTATTTGAGTATGTATATATAATTTTTATTGCTGTAGGCTTTACCGAGACGTTCCCATTAGAACTGTAGAATTAAATAACCAACGAGATATGTGTCGGGGAAAAAGTGATAGAAGGTTTGGGTTCAGGAAAAGTGAAAAAAAAAAAACTCGGGCTCTACAGGGAAGATAATATAAATTGTCAACGAAACTTGGAAAGAAGGCGGGCAAAGAGAAAAAAAAAAAGCCGACCTTTGCTTAAACCATAAACAAAACCTTTTTATTTATATATCAATTTAAAATTTATAGTGGGTAATGATTTTTTAATATATACATCTTTTTTAATTATTTAAATAAATTTTAATTTATATTTATTACAATAAAACTAAAAAGCGAAACCTGAATTTTTGGGAAATTTTTTTTTTTTTTGTCGTACAGTTTTATTTTTTTTCCAACCGAGATAAGTCCCTTTCCAAAGAAAATCTCGTGCAACATTGATTTTTTTTTTATTTTCCCTATTCTATTCTATTCTATTCACCCTCATGCTAATAAAAAAATCGACCTAACCATTCTTAAATAATTTTTTTTTGTCATTATAAATTTCTCGTTTATTACAACAAACAAAAATTGATTTTTTTTTTTCGTTTCCTTTAAATTATCTTATAATTTGTAAATGAGTAAGTCTCGCATGAAATAGGCAATTGATGGAAAAAAGTAAATGCCATCATCTTTGACCTTTAATAAATAAGATATATCGGGTCAATAAACTCACAACCAAATTTAATTATATTTGCCACAATTAATTAAATGCCAAACTTTTTTTTCTTATTTTTTTTTGGAAAAAAAAAAAAAAATTTTATCTTTTTATTTTTATTTTATTTTTTTTTTTACATGGGCAGAGGTTTTTTTTCTCACGAATATACATATAAAAATTACTTTCTCCTCATTATGAACCCAATAAAAAATCGCAAAGGGAATGTCTTTTATGCGAGACGTTAAGGTTATGATTGTACGTGTGCAATAGCCCCAACCAAATAAATAAATTACATTGGCGCGAAAAAAAAAAAATAAAAATAATTTATAGGAACTCTATTCTTATACATTACGCCCGTGACGATTAATAAAGAAATCCCGAAAAAGGATTTTTGTGTCGTAAAAGGAAAGATTAAATTCTAGTCTACAACCATATATTATGTGACATTCAAATACCGTTAGGAACTAAAAAAAGGCTAGGTTTCATCAAAAAGGAGGGAAGCACGGATCATCTGAAGTTTACTGATTTGGAAGCGTTTGACTCAAGTGTTGCCGTTCGAGTGTGACAAATACAAAAAAATCACAAAGGGTTCATTATCAAAAAGTTTTTTCCGGGAAATTCCCCACTGTAAGTTCCGACGAAACCAACCATCGATTGGGCGAAATGGTTTGTAACATTGATAAAATTGTGGGTTCATTGTACAAAACGTTGTTGACAGGAAAAAGGTCACGAAACATAATTTCGGGTCAGATGACTGCATGATCAATGATAAGGAAATATTTAGAAGGGTTCATTAAAAAAAAAAAAGAAACGAAATGGGTTAGGGTTAAATCCACCACGTAGCGACATAATGAATATAAATTTGGAAGGAATACGTACGTGGTCGGAAAGACAATCGCTCAAAACTTGAGCAATTTTTCCTCTTTCGCACAGTCAAACCTTTGCTTGATGCGATGAAAACATAAGCCCTTTTGGCTTATCAATCAAAACCTTTTATCATCTTCATCATCAATCATTCTTTAGGGAAAATTGAACAACGTGATACCCAACATTCACATGATGTAACGATTTGGATTAAGTTTCATTATGCATGTCGCTTCTGGAAGCCTTGTTTCACCAACTTCCATCAATTCATCACCTGTTTTTAGACTGAAAGTGTAACTTATTAATCCATCAAATCCAGGCAAGCCTCACGTTTTGGTAAATATTTTCGTTACGATTACAGAAACTAATTTTTTTATCAGATCTTTCTGCTGCATGCTAAATCACTTTTTTTCGTGGCGTTGTTCAAAAGTAATTGCTTTTTTAATCTCATGTATCAAATCTAAAAAGTGAAATGCTTCTCCATCCAAAGGATTTGCTATAGTTAGATTACATGCATTCGAAGTATCATATGATTATAGCATTGATATTCTTTGTTCTGAAATTGAAAGAAACTCGAGAATTTTTATTGTTTATTATTAATGTTTAAAAAAAAATGGTGATTTGGAGAAAAAAAAAAGCAGTGTCCCAAATGATGTGCCGTGATATTGTTAAAAAGGTTCTCATTTTACACCAAAAAAAGGTTAGGATAAAAATGATTCAAACCTGAAACCAATTTTAAAACTTCGTGTGGTGTGTTTATTTTATAATTCAAAGATTTTATTTAAACTTAGTTTGATATACTATTGTTCATTTGGACTGTGATGAAACTATAATGATGATTGTTTATGATTCTCACGTCAAAAAAGTCCGTTGTAAAAAAAAGAATCATTTTTTCTTTCTCCCCCTTTCCCCACACAATAGAGAATGTTAATTATAGCTCATTGTTTTATTTTATTTACACGTGGAATAACTTGGTTCAAATTTTGAATCTTTGGAAAAGGGGGGAACCACCGCAGTTTTATTTATCACACCTGTTAACGTTACACCACATTATCTACCAAAAGCTTTTTTTTTTAAAAAAGGGACCCGATCATATAATATAAGTATTCTATTTTTTGTCGGGTCTTTAAAAGAATTTTTTTTATTTTTATTTTATTTATTTTTTTTTTTAATAAAAAATTTACTTGTGCTTCAATCAATCTTTTCATTATTAAAATAATGAAATAATAATAATAATGAAAATGAAAATAAAATAAAATGATGAATGAAACTAAAATAAAATAATAATAATAATAATAATGATGAATGAAAACAATGAAAATTTGATTTCGCAATGGTAACCTTTTATTTTTGTAAACAAATTTTTTTTTTGCTTTCAAATCGGAACGAAGGTGAGATGGGATGAAACACATTACCTCCAGCGTAAGGGTTGAAACCTAGTTTCCTGAAAATTTTTAGCCTTGGTCGGAGATCTCCCATTCTATTAATAACCCTCTTTGAGAAAACCTAATTTATCATGTTCTGATTCGTGTATAAAAAAAAAAAAAGGTATCAATTGATCTCACCAAATTTTTTCTTGTCAAATATGACAGATTATGAAGGGCGTGTAACGCTGTGAATTAGAAAGTCATTTCTACTTTTATACTTATTAATAATTTCCTTTTTTTTTAAAAAATAAAAATAAATAAAAAAAATAATATTATAAATAATAACAATAATAATAATCATCTTAAATGCAATTTAATCTTTTTTTGATGGTCTACACGAGAGTTACATTACTTGAAATGAATAACTTGTTGCCTAAAAAGAAAAAAAAAAAATTTTTTTTCTTTTGATTAGGCGTAATAAGAGATACTGTAAAAAGCTTTATTTGCATACATCATTATATCATACTTACCGATAAGTAATGCGTTAATAACTAATAATTTTTTAATTTTTTTTAAAATAAAATAAAATAAATTTTAAATTTTCCTTCTTGTATAAATCTATTTATTTCTTATATTATAAATTAACATAGTTCATTATTATTGGTTAATGCGAATGATGCGCAGCACATATCGATGCGTTGTATAATTAGTACACATGGGTTTTGTTTCAGAACAAAAGATCATTTAATTAGGATGGTAGGAATGCTCGTCATAGGATATCATTGTTCCTAAGGAAATCATGGTTCGTCAATGAATGAAGGAGAAATTATGTTTCATTAACAGAACAATCGAATAAGTCGCATTTAATTTTAAGAGTAATATAAATAATGAATATTTTTCTTTACTTTTTTTTTTTTTAAAAGCAATCACACCAAATGATTAATAAAATAATGTAAATAATGTTTACAATGATTAACAAAGTACACGCGTGTATCACTTATGGCAATGTACATAACAAGGTAGATAACAAATAATATATGATTGTAAAGAAAAAAAAAATTGAGTTGTGCGAAGAAATTATGAATAAAGGGTATTGAAATGTAAAATTCTTTAAAAAATTTTTATAATTCCAAAGATAACCAAAAAAAAACTTTTTTTCCCCTTCTATCTTATTTAATAAGATTAATACATCCCCTTTGAAAAGAAAATTATTCTAATAATAAATAATCCATAAAAGAAATTAACATAAATTATCTCGTTATTTTAATTTTTCCAAAATAATATATCTTATTTAATAAGTCCATCGAATAAATTCTCTGTGAATAATCTAAGTATTAAATAAATGCAACTACCAATGAATCTGACACCAGCTAAACCTGCGACGCTCCAAAGGATAAAAGCGAAATACGTGTTAGTCCTTTTTGTATTATCACTAAAATCGGCTAAAACAGGGCTAACTTCCGTTATAGCTCCAATTAAAATTCCATTTGAAATTATCCAAAAGAATACAACATAAGTTCTAAACATTGCATTTGATTCTTCTCGCAATTCTTCTTTTTCCTCCACGGAAATATTTTTTTTATCTTTTGGAGGTTGTCTTTTAGGAACCGACAATGCTGATTGAACTCGTTCATATTCTTCATTAATATCTTCTGGTAAATCTACCTCGGCTGTTGAATCCTGTTTTTTGGATACAGTGCCAAGTTTTTCTGCCTTGGTATCTCCTTTCGTTCCCCAACTAAGAAAAGGGAAAAGAAAAAGGTTGTTAATATTTTGAAAAAAAAAAAGAAATCATGTACATATATATAAACTACTTTTTCGCCACTTTTAACTTACCTAACATCATGAATATTACAAAAAGCATAAACATTTAAGACATTAAGATAAAAAGGTACTAGCATCATATATTGTACACTACTATGAAACATATGATAAGGTTCAAAGAACAAGAAACTAGCGATCAGGTATAACCCATAAGTACTTATTAATGAAATTATAACATTTTTAATCGTAAAGTCCCCAAAAGCTTTGTATAAACTTGCTAGATTTGCGTCAAGTGGTCCCAAATTTCCTAAAGCCATACTAACTCCTTTATAAGTTAACCATCCTGCCGCAAACAACATATAAATCATTAAACCTGCAAAAAAATATGTAGATAATACATATGCCCATTTTGCACTACATGAGATAGAATTGACACGTTAGTTATAAATGCATGCAAAAAATAGCATCAAGCGTATAGATAAATGCACACCTTCGTGGTTTATTACCCAAAGCTAATGCGAATTGTAAAATCATTAATGCCACGTAAAGATAATTTATCAAATTAAATATTATAGCTCCAGTTTGAGGTGACCAAAGACCTATAATAACTTCTTCTTGTGTAAGTGATTTTCCCAAAATATAAAAAGTCAAGTAGAAATTTCCCTACAATAAAAAGAACTATTAACTAATGTGCAAGTTACAAATTTTTTTTTTTTTAGAAAACAAATAAGGCAATAAATTTTCTTGTTCTTTATATTAAATAACTTACCAAGGCGAACCAAGAGAAGAGTAGAGTAAAACTCTGATAAAACATTTCAATTGCTAATAAAGTTTTTCTCCAAGTTGTATGATCACTTCTCCAAATATTAAAAGTATGGCAAATAGCAAAGACTCCAGCAAAGAAACTTCCATTTAACCAACGACGACGTTGAGAAATCAATTCGGTAAAAGTGTCAGGCACATCAGTTTCAGCATAAGCTGATTTGACATAATGTAATAACCAAGAACTCTTTCGTTTTGAAACTAATTCAAAACAAAGAATACGATCTTCTGCCAAATACATATTTGCTGTGAACAAGCCAGTCTTTATTTCGTCCTTTTCTGCTTCTTCTTCAGGCTTTTCATTACCATTGCTTATTTTTTTCTTTTTTGGTGGACCACCTCCGTGGTGTCTTTCACCCATAAAATAAGAAGCTAATGGACCAACTTCTTCATTCGTGACTGGATCAATTGAATTTTCCAATGCGACATAACGATAAGCAGAAAAGGCACCAGGTAATACAGTAATATACCCGAACACTGATTCTAAAGGTTTATCTAGGATATTTGACATCTTATATTCAAAATTTTGAGAAGCTACAAGAGGATTTAATAAATATTTTCCACCTTTCCCTTTCATAGCAACAATTTCACCACAAGCACCTCCAATATAAGGATTCTTATCAAAAGCTTTCCATAAATGATAAATCGAACTTCCACCAGGTCTAGTACCAACATCCAATAAAACACAAACATTTGGACGTAAAATTCTACCAAAAGCATTAAAAAACCATCTATGAGAATTAATCTTCTTTTGGTTCTTTTCTTTGAGACAAAATAATATTTGAATTGGAGTGTACTCATATTCGGAACCTACTAGCTTCATATCAGGATCAAGACAAAGTTGCGTCGTATATTCGAAGATATGTGCAGTCACATCTTCGTCAAAAACTTTTTCTTTTGCAAGTCCACTTTGATATACACCTATAGCCGCCAAATAATCTTGCGTGCGTTTATTAATCTTATTACGTCCATCCGAGACAATGCATACAACCACCTTTTTCCATCCATCCTTTCCCCATATTCGTGATCTTTCTCGCTTACATAATCTATGAATATTTTTTACTACTCCTTGAAACGTACGTGCGAATAATTTTTCATCTTCATTATACATTGTAGTTACAATAAATAATTCGGTTTGTCTTCGAGGTTCAACAAGTTCTTGTCTAAGAGTGTATTTGTTTTCTTTAAATTCATTAGGGTCACACGTACAAGCGGTATATCTAACATGAGTAAATTCTCTACCGCTTTTTTCAGGAATTAAAGACAATAACTTGGAAGGTACAGGACATTCGATGACGAAATTCCCTTCATATAATTTAACCTGTTGAGTTTTATAACGACGTGGTTGCACTTTTGGAGCTGAACCATAATGTTTTTCTTTCACATGTTCTGGTGGTTCAATATTTATTACTTGTTCTGAACTCGTTTGAGACGATGATGATGAATTTAGCTGTGGTGGAAATTGCGGATAGGTTGAAGAATTTGAATTTGGTGGTTGAGGTTGCGGGTAAGTTTGTTGTGGTGGTGTTGTTGGATATTGTGGATATTGTGGTGGTGGTGGTGGCTGTTGAACGTATGGCTGAGGTTGAGGAGGATATCCTCCCTGTTGTTGAGGAATAGGAAATCCTCCTTGTTGTTGTGGATATCCTCCTTGTTGCTGTTGTGGATACCCTTGTGGGTATCCTCCTCCTTGTCCGTATCCAGACATTTTATTACTAGAATCTCTTTTTTTTTTTTTTTTAAAAAAAAAAAATAATTTAAAAGATAATATCGATTAATTTAATTTAATTGAATTTAACCTATTTTCTTCTTTCATAAACCACAATCGTAAAAGGATTGTTTTTCATTAAAACAATTCGATATATATATGAAATTAAGGAAAAAATGAAAAGTCCCCTTTTTTTCCTCAGAGAAAATTCCAAAATGGATTGCCAAGACAAATTGTCTTTTATGGCCTTACAATGACAATCAAACCCATAATGGTCTAACCTTTCATGGTATTACATATAAAATGAAATATAAATATTTATCATGTACACCCAATTACAAAAATCCATTTTCCCTTATTCCAATTTTTTTTTCACTAACGAAAGAAGTAAAAATTCAGCCTGATTGCTTATCACAATATTATAATGTTCAATGGTAATCACGTGGTTACTTTGTTGTTACCGAAGTAAAATTGATTTTGTTGGTTTTTTTTTGTTTAAATAAATAGATGCAAGCCTTTATCCATTAAAATATTACTATATTTGGAGCTTACAAATTCACGGGATCTGCGATCAATGAATTCTGAGAAACAATAATGTGAATTCGTGCGGGAAATGTATTTCTCAATACATATGCAGGGAATTTCTACAAGAAACTTAGCGGAACGTAATTATGATGAATTACATCAACGTAAAAATAATGAATGAAAGGATGATTTATTTGATAAAACAATTCCGAGTTTGAAATTAATTAATTAATTATACAAGCCTGATGATACGTAATATCGATATTCTGGCAGAGTATATTATTTGCATCAACTTTGATCCTCTATCCAGCTCGCCTTTTCTCCTTTATTTCATCTCCTTGTTCGCAAAGAGGGCTACGAAAGGTCCTTACAATAAAATTAACACGATCTTTGATTTGTAACATAAAAAAAAAAAATATGGCTACTACGGAACCTTGTTTTACCTGTATTTCTTATAGAACTCAGCTTGAACAAAAAGAAGCTATTATTGCAAAATATCAAAAGGTCGTTCAATTTCAACACGAACTTATTCATGAATTATCTATCAGTCAAAAAATTACTACCAAAGATACGGCTTCCGTTACAACCAATGATGAGCCTGCATTGACTGCTGTTCGCGAAAAATGTGGGTTTTACAACTTTTTTTTTTTTTATTTCTTTTTAAATTTCATATTTTGAATTGATTCTTGCTTTCATATACATATATTGCTTTAGCCAATCGAAACTACTATCGCACTTACGTTGGACCTTTGACTGGCGAAGTAGATAAAGCATCATTGAAGCAATGCCTTGAAGAATCATTTGGTCCAGTTGATACCATTGATTTTATCCCCGGGAAGGTATGTATCAGTTGAGAATATCTCTTAATATTTTACACAAGTATCACGAGATCAATATTAACTTAAAATTTTTATAAAGTCCTGTGCCTTTGCGAATTTCTTTTCTCCAACCGCGTATCATAATGCCATAAGCGAAGGTGCTATTATGGTGAAGGGTATTGTCTTGAGTGTTGAACAAGCCAAAAAACCAAGATTTCGTTATTCCAAGAAAAAGTTGTCAACATCATAAACGGGTGGCATATTTTTGACACGTACTATTTTTGAATTTGTGAATTTCGGTAATAGCGTCTTTTGATTCTTAATCCATTTCCTCCATACAATATAATTTTCGCGAAAAATTTATTACTTTATATATCAAATTAATTAAACCATATTCGGACACCATTAAATTGGTAAAAAGACGAATTAAATATTAATTAGTAATTACTTTCCTTGGATGACAAAATAAATATTATCTTTCTTTCGAACATTAAAATAAAAGCTTCTTAATATTAAACTTGGTCACCGTTAATTATAATTGTTATGAACCTAAAAGTAAAGTAATTTCAAAAAAAAAAATTACTGAAAATTAAAAGATTTTCAAATTTATTAAGATCACTTTCACTGTTAATCCTTATGTAAATTACTTGATCTCATTAATTTTAAATATAGTGTTAATTATCAGGTATCACGTGATTTTCTCGGTTTTTTTATAATTGACGATCACTTTGATAAATCGTGTATTTAGTTCTTATATTGTATAAGCATTATTTCATATTACAATATAATATAAAATCAATTGTTTATAAATTCCAATTACTATAGTAATGTTTATTTATAATTATATGTTTCCTTTTTTTCTTTTTATTATTAATATTAAAAATGTTTAGAAAATTCTTGTAATAAATGCTTGTTTTTCTTATTTTTTAATAATTCTGAAGCCTTGCTGAAACCAGATGTAGTTATTTTATTATTCTGTGTCTCATCATCCTTTATTTCATCAGTTTTAGGTTAAAAATTGAGTATTTCTTCAGTTATTTGTTGCATAACTAAATTAAGAATTTTTTCTTTTTTTCTTTTATTACTTTAAGGTAATTACATATTTCAGCTGATGAATTATAACCAGAAATTTGCCATTGCTTCAACTTCTTCATTTTCAGCATCAAATATATTGATTATATCTCTTTCTAAATGATTAGAAATATTTATTTTAAATAAGTAAATACAGTCAGATCTCTCTAAATACATTCTCTATAAATATACATCCTAATTAATGTATACAATGTTTTAGTCTTAAGCTTGTGATTTAAATGCTAAATGCATCCACTAAGTTTTATATATACAAGAAGTTTTTCAGTCATTTTATATAACAACTCTATCTCTAAATGTATATCATATGATTATCCTATAAAATAATAAGACTAGTATTAATGTTAGATCATTTAAAAGTAATGTTAAATGTTTTTTTTAAAAAAATAAGTCAACTTTTGTAACTATAAATTTCAAATATTAGATCATTTAGAGGTGAGTCATAAATATTTTAATATTTATTTTTTTTAATCAAATCAATAATTAATAATATAAGAAATTATTTTAAAAATTTTTTTTAAAAAATAGAATAATATATTATTAGTATAACTTAAACATTAAAATTCTATTAAGTAAATCTAACTAATTTTATTTATTATACTAATGTAATATCTTTAATACATAAAAAAAAAATAAAAATTATAATTATTATATCATAAAAAATTTGTTAAAATATATATTTTTCATTAATGCATCTCTCTTTAAATACATTCTTATTCTTATTTCTAAAGAGATACATTTAGAAAATTTGACTGTATTACATTTAATACAGATTTCATAAAATATTTTTCTAATTTATTTTTTATTAAATACTTGATTATAATACCATTTTCTTTAAAAATTGCTAATAAAAAAGTATTAAAATTCTATTAATTTAATATAAAATAATTAAATAATTTAATTTACTTATTATATTTATTAAAATTCTCAGATAAAATAATTAATTTATACAATCTAAAGGTCTTATTAAAATATATTTAATATATTTGTATTAGATTTAGTGTTGCTTTTAATATTTGATAAAAATAATATTTCAAAAGTATTTAAATTTCTTCTAATTCTTCTTAATCATTTTTTTGATGAAATTTTCTAAAAATAAATTTATCTTTTATATTTTTAAAATTGATTAATTTGTAAATTATAATTTTCATCATTTTATAAATATCCTAATAGACAAATATATAAGAAAACTCTTCTAAGTAATCCTTTAGGTTTATTTTTCATATGCTATTAAGTATAATATATAATTTTAAAAATTATTTTTATTTAATAGATTATCTCTCAAACTGTAGAGATTTGTAGGCAAATTTGCCTGCTTATTTACTATAAACTTCCTTCTGATTTACTTTTATAAAAAATTAAAATTTTTAAAAATTTTTTTTTTAAATTAATTTTATAAATATATATAATA